CCCCAAAACCCCAAAACCCCAAAACCCCAAAACCCCGAGAATCAAAATACTCTAATTCAAATATATAAAATAAGTATTATGAATTATTTAAGTCCATAAGATAATTATGAAAAGTTTCTTCAAATTCTCTCAATAGTTTGCATTCCAAGTAGAGTGAATACTTGCTTCATAGTTTTTCTGGTTGCTTCCAATAAAAGGATTCTTGATTTTTCTTCTGGAGAGCCAATAACCTTGCATTCACTGTAGAATTCTGAAATCTTGACTGCAATTTCATAGAGTAGTTCAGTGATACGGTTGACTTGGAGTTCTGATAAAGTCAAGTCTATTTGTTCAGGAAGTCTGAGAAGTGACAAGGCTAATTCTCTTTCACGTTTATGAGTAATAACAAATCTTTCATTTTACAATATTTCTTCAAGTTGCTCTGGGCTATAGTTAGCTTTTCTCATAATTGAGAGAACACGGACATAAGCATATTGAAGATAGACACCAGTGTTACCTTTTGGATCAAGCATCTTATCGAATGAGAATACATAGTTTTAGATTCTGTTTTGCTTCAAGTCATAGTATTTGATTGATGAGATACCAAGGATTTCGGCAGTTTATTCTAGATCACTCTCCTGAACTTATACTTTGCTTTACTGTCCCTTACTTTCCTCATGATTTGCATCTTATTCATGGAGTCTCTCTGTAAATATTTTTAAAGCTCTTGCTTTTGCTTCATCTAGCAGTGATTGTAGCTTTACAGTATCGCCATCACGAGATTTCATTTTTTCAATTTTCTTCTTTTTTTCTCCTCCTTTCTTCTCTTCTCCTTTTTTCTCCTCTTCTTTAGAGTCCTCTTGTTTCACTTCTTCCTCTGACTCTTATAGCACTAAACCGAATCCCATATGGTCGATTCTTGTTTTTGCTGGATCATATATTCCTATAAGTTTACCTCCCTCAAATAGTAATTTAAAATGAAGTTCTTATCCACTATCCGTAATATAGATTAGCCAGTCTCCCTTTTACTCTTCAATACGATATCTAAGAGCTGCAATATCAGTAGTATCATAATTGAATCCTCCATCACTTTTTTATACCATAAGAGGTACCTTTTATTTTGGTATAAAGATGCATTTTGCACCCTTATCATCCTTAGTGAATCCTCTAGCTTCTAACTCTTCCACTAAAGGTTTCAGCAATGGGTTATAGAAAGACTCTCCTCTTTCTTCAATTTTAATATCAAGTCTCTCATATATCTTTTAAAACTCCAATCTTGATATGTCACATAGGAATTTCCATGATACCATACAATGCTCATCACCTGATTGAAGTTTGACAACATTTTCTTAAGATCTCTTTTTGAATTCATCATCGGTATCAAATCTCTTTCTTGCACTTTTATAAAAGACTTGTAGATCCCCTAGATCGACATCCTAATTAATAAGGTCTGGAAATTTGTCATCTAGTTCTGCAATCAACATTCCAAATTGAGTTCCCCAATCACCTAAGTGGTTTGTTCTTAAAACATCATATCCCATGAATTCTAAAACTCTACAAATGCTATCTCCTTAAATGGTAGATCTTAAATGGCCGACATGCATGTTTTTAGCAATATTAGGACTTGAAAAATCAACAACTACTCTTTATCTTTCTTTTTTTTCTTCCTCTTCGACACTTAGATGTTAGACTTTGAGTAGTTTCATTACTTCATTTTCGATGAATTCATTCTTGAGGGTAATATTTAGGAAGAATCCAGCCTTTGAAGGATCACCTTGACCAGCCTGTTTCAATTCAATCTTTTCAATAGCTGGATTTTCTGGTTCAATATTAGCAACTACAGCATTAGCTAACTCCTGACAAGTAGGGAAACCAAATGACCCGCTTTTCTTAGTCATATTATAAATCTTTATTGCTGAGGGTGATGTGTAGTCCCAGTCCTTATTTCTTTCTGGAGTTACTTAAATCTTTTCTAGAAGAGCAGGCATAGTCTTTAATGCACCTTTGCTAATCAATTAAGACAAATATTTTGGTAGTGAGATCATTTTTTAAATAGGTTATGGCTGATTAAGCTGCTAAGTATTAAATATTTAATACAAAACAGACATTAATTCCTCATAAATACATAATTAATCCAATAGAATTCTTATCTTTCATATGGGGTTTTGGGGTTTTGGGGTTTTGGGG